AGCTGCAAGTACTTCCTAGGTTCCTAGTCTACTCTCAAGTGACTAGTTGCAACACTGGGGCAAAGAGGTGGTGTGAAAAACAAGAACGGATGAGCACTCCCAAAGGGACCAGCTGGGGCTATTTTCAGATTTGTTGCAGTGTACAGCCAAGCTCAGCATTCTCTGTTTTACTCAGAAATTTGCTCTGTTTTATTCAGCAGCCTGCTGGAAGAACCATGTTGCTTAATCCAGTTAGTGTGGCCATACTGAACAGCCATTCCCTTTTAGTACAGAGAAACAGGGCTGGTTAAGCAGTGTGGCTAAAGAGTTTCTGAACTATCCATTGTGCTGCCTTTGTACTACCATTTGTCAAACATCCTACCAAAAGAGAAGGTGTTGTGATACTGGGGAAGTAGCCACACTGCAGCAATAAAGCAGTTTGACACCACTTGTCATGTCTCCATCCTGTAGAAACCTGGGATTGGTAGTTTAGTGAGATATTCAGTCCATGAGCTCTGGTGCCTCGCCAAATTCCAAATCCCAGCATTCCACAGGATGGAGCCTTAACAAAGTGGTGTCAAACTACTTTATTTCTGCAGTGTGCATATGTTCAGTGTTGTGCAGCTGCACCAAAGAGCCATAAGTGCCACTAAATGCACATAAAACTGTGCATGTGCATCCATTTTCAATTCACATTCATGCACAAGGTGCATGTGCCTCCATGCACAACATGCATCCAGGTACAATGGTACTACATGGGCAACTCTGCTTTTTCAGCTTTGAACGGAATGTGGCTATTCGGCACGGAGCACAGATGTCCAGACACTTAAGTATGGGAACTTTTATATGCATAAGACAGCCACAGAATTCCAGTCCTTAAATAAAATCACTACCCAGTCTAAATAAAATAAACATGTAAACTGAATTAAGGAGACCAGCATGGTGTAGTGGTTTAAGCGTTGGACTAGGACTCTGGCAACCAGGGTTTGAATCCTGGCTTGGTGATGGAAACCTACTGGGTGTCCTTGAGGCAAGTCACACTCTCTCAGTCTGAGAGGATGGCAATAGCAAACCCTTATGAAGAAACATGCCAAGAAAACTCCATGTTGGGTTCACCTTAGGGTTGACAGAAGTCAGAATTGGCATGAAGGAACACAACAGCAAATCTGAATTCATTCCTTGTGCCTGTTTTAAACTACTTATTAGAGCTGAACCTTCTAAGAACAGTCTCCCCAAACCTGGCAGCCTCCATATACATTAACCTTAACATCCCCAGCCAGGGTGTCCACTGGCCATTGATGGAAGTTGTAGTTCAAGACATCTAGATAATGTCTGGTTGAATCCAAGAGCCTTAAACACATGCATGGAAATAATCCAGTGCATTCAATTGGACTTTCTCAAAGTAAGTGCACATAGGGTCATAGCCTTAGCTTGAGAGGAGATAGTGTGAGCTTCAACCATTTGGCAGCATTTCCTAAAATATTTACAAAACCAACTTTAAAAAGAAGAAGAAAAATTGCTTTCCTGTTTATAGCTTAGAAAAGCTGCACAGGCAGGGAATGAGTAATAACGATGTGGGCTTTTTCACAAAAAATAAAATCTATAACTCTAAGGCTACTTTTAGCTTTCATAAAAAGGGAAATGAGTAGAACACTGGGGCAAGAACAGTTGCGAAATTGGCATAAGAGACTTTGAAATCCTCCTCATAATCCTATTTACATGTCTAGTAGGATGTTATTGCTATTTCTGTACATCTTGTATACAGAACCCATGCAAGAAACAGCATGCAAATGCAAGAGGCCTCTCCTTACAATGAGCTGAAACTGTTTCTCATGCTATAACCCAAGGCATGATCCAGCTGAAGTGGAGCACGTTTAAAGCTCTGTCCATTTTTTGGCTACACGGTCAGCCTAATCCATAGGCAGTGAAGCAGTCACTGGGTAGCAGATGCTGAAAGATGCTAGCAAGATGGTGAAGGAGATAGCTGTGGGCCCATCACTGTGCACTGTACCCCCATAGTTACCTTCAGAGGGGAACACTGTCACATCACCAACCTTGAAGAAAGATTCAGCCCTACAGATAAAGCCAAGGGTCCCTCAAGTCCACAGTGATTCAGACCAGTGGCATCACAAGGGTTGGCGTCACTCAGTGCAGTTACTCACCGTGTCACACACCCCCATTGACCTCCTCCCATACCACACCATACAGAAACCTTAGTCATGTTTTTGGGGCTAACATTACTCATAAATCGTAATTCCTGAATATCTCTGGATGTAATGGCAATAGTTGTGACATCACAACTAGCAAAATTAAAATGATGCCTTTAAATTACAACGTCATACGCAGAGCCTAGATTTATTTACATGCACATAGTTTCATGCAATTAAAGTGAACATTTGTTAAGATGTGAAGTGTTTAAAAGGTAAATTTAAAACAAATGTAAATGTTTACTTTAAAAAATACTGTATCTGTGGTGTGTCTGTGTGTAGGTAGGTAGGTAAAGATATTCCCCGTTGACAAGGTTGTCAAGTTGTATCCAACTGTAGGGAGCAGTACTCATCTCATCTACTAAGCCGGACTAAGTGGACAAGTCACACTCTCTCAGCCTCAGAGGATGGTCATGGCAAAATCCCTCTGAAAAAAACATGCCAGGCAAACCCTATGATAGATTCACTTTAGGGTTGCCATAAGTTGGAAACAACTTGAAGGCACGCAACAACAACAACAAAAGAATATTTTAATCTATTTCTAAAATATTTTATCTTTGCATTGCTTAAATTGCTTCTTAATTGTTCATTGGCTCAGGAAACCTTGTAGGGCTGGGATGTGATATGGAAATAGTCTAAATAAATAAATAAAATAGTCATGTCTACTTTTTACATCTTACAGGTATCGGTTGATCTAAACCAAACGCAAGGATGAGGAACCTAAGACCCTAGGGGTGAATTTGGACCTCTAGGTTTCTTCCGTATGCCCAAGGAAAGAGGCATTTCTCTATCTTTTTTTTTTCTATTCTGAAAATCTGAAATACTTATCCTCCAGTGTAGCTACTAAAATATGCTGGGATTTTTGGACTTTTGCCTTTGGCCCTCTTTACCTAGCAGATCCTGAGAATCTGTCTGAGACTGAATGAAAGTCCCAACCATCACTAACTACCATTTACTCACAGTCTACAACCTTCTGAATTACTGAGTTTCAATCACAGTCTCCCACTTACATAGATTTCATTATGGAAACAAAACACTTTCAATGGCTATCGAGAGTAAAAATGGCAGTGCATGAGAGAGAAAGACTCTGCTCTCCAGACTCCCAGACTCTCATTTGAATTGTTGCAATGTTGCTATAAGTAAGGGGTTTTTTTAAAAAAAATATAGGAAGAAAGCAAAGTAAAATATGCTTTTACTTCATTTCCAAACATCAAAATCTGAATTATGCAAAGTTCGGCAGCCTGGTGGGTAAAGACATTGCCCTTTCATGTCTCATTATGTTGTTAATTAGCTAATGTTTGTAAAGCACTTTGAAGATGAAAGACACCCGTATACATTCCAAGTATTATTATCTCTGGAGACCTGGGTTCAACTAAGAGGTGCCTAATTACACATGCAATAAATTAGATTTAATGAATCGCGGAATCCCGCTTTCTGTGTTGTGCGCACACTTCGACCAGCCAGTAGGAAATGTGGAAGCAATTCCATATCACCAGATGAATGTTGCCAAACAGTAAAAATGGGATCGAGGGCCAGCATGGTGTAGCGGTTTGGATGTTGGACTAAGATGCTAGGAGACCAGGGTGCAAATCCCACCTCAGCCATGAAAACTCACAAAGGGGCTCTACAGATGGCCCTTAAGGGGTGGCTCTGTGCTGCCCCTGAGAGCGCCAGATCAGGGGGCCAGCAACCACACTACGCAGCCCTGATCTGGCACTTTGCCACTCCAAAAAGTAAACTGAAGCTGAAGACAAAGGGAGATAGCAGAGAAAGTGTGACATTTTAAAAGCAACTGAAAAAGTAGGACAATGGAGGATGCATTGGGGCTGTCCACATGAAATCAGGACAGTTGGGGGGTATGCTTTAATTTGTTCTAAACATTACAACTTAGTGTCCAGTAATATCTCCTCCTAACTGTAGAGGAAAAGCAACAATGGGCCTTTGCAGACTGCTAAAAATAGTGCAAATTGAGTCCATTTTAAGGGTTAGGATTAGGGTTAGGGAATCATGGGAACTGTGGCACCAGAGCTCTCTGACAGAGAAGGCTCAATGTCTCAGAAAAAAACCAATTCCCATGATTCCCTAGCACTAACCCTAACCCTTAAAGTGGACTCAATTTGCACTATTTCTGGCAGTCTGCAAAGGCCCAATGACTCATAATATTGGATTTTGTAAAGTTTATAGGCTGGAGTTTTCTGTCACAATGTGTTAATAGATGCTTTAATCCCAACTGGTTTAAAGATCAGTTAAGGATCAGTATACAGGGCATCTGCATCCTATTTAACAGCTCTTAGAAAATCTCAAACTCATGAAGCATTCATGCTTGCTATCCTTAATATTTTACGCTCATCAAAAAAACAGGTTAGATTTTTGGGAATCCTTTGTCAAGAAAAATATTGTCCATGTATGGCTGAGGCTCTTGAATCCTTAATACATTTTTTTTTTACTATTGGAATTTTAATCTAAAAAGAAAATTCATAAAATTTGCTTCCTTTTGCAGCTGGTCCAGGGATCTCCCACTGAGAAAATAGTTATATTTTGTGTTATATATATATATATTCTGTATAATATGTGTGTATAAATTAGGAAGGAATATCCTCAAACATTTTGTCCTTGTATGTGTATTTTAATGTCTTGAAATGTTCTGGAGGAATTATTCTCTATTCTCTATGCAATTATTCTTTATATGCTTTTGTACAAAAATCCTGTTTTACCCAGAAATAAAAAAGGTTTGATGTATTTTAGAGAAAGTCATGCAAAATATGGTTATGTATGTAAGATATAGTATATATAACAAGGTAAGAATGTGTTAGAGCTAGAGTGATGCAGTGGTTTGAATATTAGACTCGACTCTGGAGACTAGTGTTCGATTCCCTGCTCAGCCATGGAACCCACTGGGTGATCTTGGGTAAGTCACACTCTCTCAGCTTCAGAAGAAGACAAAGGCAACCTTCCCCTGAGCAAACCTTGGGGAAAAAACCCTTTAGGGTTACCTTAGGGTCACCAAAAGTCAGAAATGACTTGAAGGCACACAACAACAACAACAACAAATATAATGACATTCTAGATATTGTGAAAATTCCTAATTCAATAAATTTTATGGAGCATCCATTAATACATCTCTTCTGTTTTCCCACTGCTTTGTTTTTCCTTTGTAAGGAGAATCCATTCAGGATGGAAAAGCTACACAACTTCTTTTGAGTGGTCACACTTGCAGTTGTATATCTCCATACTGATTTGTAGGACACCTAGCACCTCATGTTTATAGGACATCAAACATCTTTCACCCATCCTGAAACATCAAGGACGTACTTTATGTCCTGAATATATCACCCATGAGAAAAAAAATGTTATTTTTGGAATCATTGGCATCAGCCAGTTTCACTCTATCCTGTCTGGTGGAATTGTCTGCAAGAAGCCAAAAGCAGAAGAAGGAGTTTCGACATCTAAAGTCATCACACGAGCTCAAAGCATGCAAGCCTTTTCTCTTTGCTTTCACTTTGAAGGTGCTATCATTCTGTGTTCTACACTTCCTCTCTATCCCTTTCTTTTGCAGAAATGCATAGGGAGCAGCAAAAAGTTGACAGGAGATGAAAAATCACATTAACAGGGATCACAACAGGAATGATATCGCTACTTGCCTTTGATGTAGAGCAGCCTCATTTCCAGGAAAGTCTGATTGCAGATATTCCTGTGTCTTCTGGATCAGTCATTCTTGTAATGTTTGCAGCAGCTCCATTCTTTGATCTAGATCAGGTTTGTTAGACTGTCCTGGACTAAGGACAGGCACATCTTTGGCTGCATCTAACTTGCAGAAATAATCCAGTTTGACACCACTTTAACTGTCATGGCTTAATGCTATGGAATTCTGGAAATTGTAGTTTTGTGAGACATTTAGCCTTCTCTGTCAGAGACTTCTGGTTCTATTGTCAGAATTTCCTAAATAAATAAATAATCACTAAAGCTAGAACAGCTAGCTAGGGAAAGCTAGAACAGTTGGTCTATGGCCTTGTTCAGGAAATGAACCATAGAACAATAAAGCTTCATCTTTAAAGTATATGAAGAGGTTGCAGTCTCAGTTCTGAGAACTTGGGCCTCTAATCACAACAATTCACTTTCTTGAATCCTGACATGTTCTTGGGTTACTGTCCCAGAATCTACAGCTATTACCTATTCTGACTTGGGCTTCTGGATGCTCAACAATATCTGGAGACCCAAGAATGGAGAAACATTGCTCTATGTGAAGTCGAGCCTAGTTAAAAGATAAAGAAACTTGGGGAGGGAAACCAACCATGGCCTTGAATTTACCCGTCAACAGGTGGCCTATGGAGAGTAGATAGAGCAGATACACAGTTTTTCTCATTGTGGAAAATTGACCTATTATAATTCTTGCTTAGTCTGTACCTATGCAAGAGAGCCAGTGTGGTGTAGTGGTCTGAGCATTGGACTTGGACTTTGGAGATCAGGATTCAAAATCCTGCTTGACTATGGAAACCTATTGGCTGATCTTGGGCAAGTCACACTTTCTCAGAGTACCATTGCCTAAGAGGATGGCAATGACAAGTTCTGTCTGAAGAAATTTGCCAAAAAAAAAACTGTGATAGGTTCACCTTAAGGTCATCATAAGTTGGAAGTGACCTAAAGACACACAACAATAACAACAACTGCACCTATGCATAACTACTTGAGCCATCAGCCCAGCCTTCTGTTATACATTCCCTCCAGTCACCAAGTCAAAGGAGATTGGTGGGATCCTTTCACACTAATAATTATAGCAATATGATTCCATTTTAAATGCCATGGCTGCATCCCATCGAATCCTGGGGTTTGTAGTTTGGTAAACCACAAGAGCTTTTTGGCTGAGAATTGCAAATGCCTCTCCTTGAACTGCCAATCTCATTATTCCACAGAATGGAACCATGACCATTAAAGTGGAATCATAGTACTACAATTGTGTAGCATGAATGAGCCCCTGGTAAAACCTGTCCTGAGCAATCCTGGATCTCATCCTTGGGATTTCAAGTGTTGCATCTGTATGTATCCTAAAGCTGCATGTGTCTTAAGGAAGCAGTCACTTTTAGGAGCACAGTAACTGCCAGGAACTATTACATCAAACAAAAAATCACCTGCCGATTGGGTGATCATATTTATGTGATTGAATGCAGATGTGCATGATGCAGTACATGGGGAAACAGTCACAGACCTACATACACATTTCAGAAATGACAAATCTGCAGTCCTGACCCGGAAGCTAGAGCAACCAGCAGCCAAATATTTTAACTCAGAACATCACGATCTCTCTGATTTGTCTCTGTTTGGTGCCAACTCATCCAAACATTTTTAGACAGGAGAGAAAATTTCTGGACCCATAGATTCAGGACGTTAACACCAGGTCTCAAACTAAAGACTTGTAGTAGATAATACATCAGACATTTAAGAATGGTACTGATGGAGTGTTCTCAACTACCACCTTGGCTGCAAGCTCAGTTTTTTTTAAGCTGTTGAGGAAGGCAGACAACAAAGTTTGCTTATTCATTTATCTATTCAGTTCTGTTTATCGCTTTCTTAAATATATACATAACCATTAGCACCTGTCCTCTTTTGAAGTGATACTTTTTGGTCACATGTACCCTGGAGCATATATTTATACCAGTCTTTTCCTTTAGCAGATCAGTTTCTTTTATCAGATCATGGTGGAACATTTTGGTTTTTTTCTTCTTCTTTAAATGGAGAAGCTATTTGTACACTGTACAAATACATCATTCATTCAATCTCTTATGCATGGGATGATCTGATGATAGCCTCTCTTCTCAGTTTCATAGCTGCAAGTCATTTCAAGATCTTTTTTATTATTATTATTAATTGCACTTAGTAATGAAACTGTATGTCTTGCTGTTACTGTGTTCTTATTTGGACAGTAAAAGGTCACAATTCTACCCACATGATTTTGTTTAGCAAATTCAAACAAAAATCCACCAAACAGTGATACCTTTATTGCCAACCAAAATGCACAATATCCTTGTTGCAAGCTTTCGAAGCTCCACTGGCTTCTTCATCAGGCAAGATGTTACAAACCAAACAGGAGAAAAAAATCAGAGATGTTAGTCAGATGCCTGCATTTGGATGTTTCTGTCCTTAGTTAAGATGGCAAGGGGAGGGTATCTTTTGCCCCTTCTGGCCATGTGGATATTGGGATATTTGCAAAGACTAGGAAATTTAAAGTCCATTTGTATCTCAACAAGGGCTCCTCTCTTGCAATCCAAGGAGGGCATCTGAATAGCAAGGAAGTTGCTTGTGTTTCTGGAGATGAGGAGGAGAGCATGAACATACTCCGCAAGTACAATGTAGAATCTTGATGAAGAAGTGCACATTTAATTGTGATCCTTAAACTAGGGGTTTAATTTTAACCAATGAGTAAACTTGATTTATTTTGTTAAATCTTTAGTCCATTTTTAGCCTGTTTAAATCACTTTTATGATTTCAAATTTTGAAATTGTTTGAACTCTTAAATTGAGATTACTTTTACACTACCCTGCAATCCCATGATGCAAAACAGGATGTGATTGCTGTTAACTGCCTTTGAATTGACCCTGATTCATGGAGACTCTGTGGATGAGACATTTCCAAGACTCCCTGTGCTCCACTGTTTAGGTCCAACAAATTCATACCGATGACCTCTCTACTAGAGTCTATCCATCTGGCATGCAGTCTTTCTACTTCACTTTTCCTAGCATTATTGTCTTTCCTAAAGAGTCATGTCTTTGGTCAGTTTGTCTTCCAAGGAGATTTGAGGCTTGGTCTGTTCAAGGACCCATTGTTTGTCTTTTGAGCCATCCACAGTATTCTCAGCACTCTTCTCCAGCACCACATTTCAAACGAATTTATTTTCTTCTTATCCACTTTCTTCATAGTCCAACTCTCGCATCCATACATGGTGATGGGGAATACAATGCCTTGGATGATTCTAACTTTAATGCTCAGTTTTATATCTTTACTCTTTAGAATATTTTTCTAGGATGGGATATAAATATGTTAATAAATTATTAAATTTGAATACATAAATTCTATTGCTAACCCTCAATATACATGAATTTCCCTGCATCCAGAATTCACTCAATACAAGAGGTTTTGTTTGGTTTTTTTCAATCTACCTGGAAAAGGGTTAATTTCTTGGTGTCTCCTCAAAAACAAAACAGAACAGCAAAAGATCAGGTTCCTAGAGTTTTGTGGTGCTCGATTGTTGTTGTTTTTTCCAGGCACTCTAATAAAGCAGTAACTTTAGATACAGCATCTACTTTACCTCCAGGCTATGATTAAAGTTTTAATAGTGCTGCAAACTTCTCAACTAACTTTTATTTAGTTATTTGTTTACCATGAAAAGGTTTGATCCCAGTGCCTTGCAACTTCAGACTTTTTTACAAGCGGGGTCAAGAAATTGTCAAACATTTTGGAGCTCTATATTTGAAAGCAAAGAGGACTGTCTTCAAATGCACAGAAAGGCATCTTCTTTAAAGTATTTTTTTTAATTAGAGCTTCATAGGTACAGATAACTGTACTGGTAACTGAGGGACCACAACATTTTATTGGCAGGTTTATCTCTAGAAAAGGTACATGAATTCTGTGGAAACGTGATAGTATGCCTGGCATTCAGGATATTGAAGTTTGGGGTGCTATCCAATCTGTATCAGGGCTAGGTTGCCAAGTAGGCAACCCTCAAAAGCTTATACTCCAGTTGAGGGACTATTAACTTGACCTATATCTCATCTTTACCATTGCAGCCATCTTGTTCATCCATCTCCATTGGGGCCTAAGCAACACTGATGGCATGAAAGGGGAAAAATAAGTGCCACTGCCTCCAATGGAGGGGGAAGTTTCTGGGCATTG